TTGGGCCAGGGGAGACAGCACGGCCACTGGGGAAGGCAGTGCAGAGGTCTCACAAACTCAACAACTCCGACTTCTTACCATGCGGTCCAGTGGGTGTCTATGGGGTGTAGCCAAAGGATTTGAAAAGTTGTGTCCACACAAAACCTGCGCACGATGCCTATAGCAGCTCTGTTCATAACTGCCAAAACTTGAAAGCAACCGTTAGTAAGTGAGTGGACAGACAAATGGGGTACATCCAGGCAAGAATATCATCTCATACCAAGAAATGAGGCATCAAACTACGGAAAAATGTGGAGGAAGTACAAGAAGCCCTTCTGAAAAGGGCACTGTGATTGTCAATTGTGACGTGTCAGCTTGACTTGGCTGAGGACCGCCTAGAAGAGTGGTGAACTCTGGGTGTGTCTGTGGGTGACTGACAGGTAGGCCACAAATAAAAGGGGAAGACCCGCCCCAGATGTGGGTGGCACAGACCAATAGGCTTGTAGCCTGAACAGAATAAAAAGGGAAAGAAGAAGGAAGCCTGCCCTTTTTCTCTGGAGAGGTTCCGCTGCTTGCCAGCTCCTTCGGCTATTGGTTTCTGGTTCCTTCCAGCCTCCAGTGCAGACCTTTGCTTGCTGACGTGGACGCCTACCGACTCTGCAGTGAGCTCCAGCCTTCAGCCTCAGAATGGGGCTGGGTCCTCCTGCTCCCCCGGGCAGGACTGTTGGATTCCTGTCTCTGGTTCTACAGGCTGCCACTAGACTCTCTCATCCTATAAATCCCTTCTGCAGCTTTCCATATTTTTTATGTTGACTCTGTTCCTCTAACAAACCTAACTAGCACAGCCATACACTGCACAATTCCATCTGCATGGTGTTTTGGGAAAAGCAAACTAGGAAGACAGTGAGAAGAGCATGGTTGCCAAGGCCGGGAGGGACGAACAGGTGGAACACCGGGTTTTCAGGAGTGAAACACTCCAGGGTGCTGCCGTGCATTGTCCACACGTGGGAATGTGCCGCATGAGAGCTAAGCGGGGTGTGCGCTGTGGACTGTGGTGTGATGATGCTGTGTCCATGCAGGCCCTCCGTGGTGACAAGCGTCCTGGTCCTGGGGTGTGTGGAATCTCTGTACCTTCACCCAGTCTTCCCAAGAGCCTAAAACTGCTCCAAAAATAGTCTCTACATAGTTTTTAAAGAAAAGAAAAAGGGCTTTGGCAATTTTCCAGGCCAAGGAAATAGTGTTTGCATGTTTTCATTATCATAGAAAATGGAACCCAATACAGCATGGACACTGCCGCTCCCCAACAGAGGAGGGACCCTGGTTTATTACAAAGAGTTGGAGTTCTCATTCACTCAAACAAAACGTGTGCTGGACGCCTCAGGAGGGAAAGACACAGCCCCCACTCTCGAGGAGTTGGTGGGTTTGTGTAAGTGTCGATGGTTCTTGTCTTAGGATGGTTTGGCCTAGGGTTTTGAGTTTACAATGGTGGGAAGATGACACATAGTCGGTAGAAATCATGCTCTGGACTTTGAACTTGGGTCCTTTCCCAGGCTAGCGATATGTGGGTGCTGTTCTACTGGCAGCCTCAGTGAGTCACAGCTCTTGGCCTCCCTGGTGATCACAAGGGAGTCCACCAGTGTTTGACTACCGGGCTGCAATTTTTGGTTCTTTATGGGTTTATTGGGATGCAGCTCCATCCTAAGTCAGAGTCTGTCTGAGCTGTGTGTGATTTATATCTCAATGTCCCCACTAGAGCTTCATGCCATCAGAGACGGGGCTTTTGGAAGGTGGTTGGATCTGGGGAGCTGTAGCTGACTTGCTATTAGGAGGTGGGCTTGGTTGGGAGGCAGCTTACTGGGGGTGTGACCTGGAAGTGTCTGTCTCCCTTCCAGCTCCCTTCTCTGCTTCCTGGCCTCCCTGATGTAAGCAGTTTCCTCCACCTAGACCTTTCCACCATGCCCTTCCTGTCTTAGAGCCGCCAGCTGTGGACTAAAACCACGAGCCAAAATAAACCTCTCCTCCTTTAATTTGTGGGTATCAGATATTGTGTCTAGGGATGAGAAAGTGACTAAGAGAAGCTGTAACACGCAGAGTGCCTGGGCTTTCCTGGATCACCGTCCAGAGTGCAGAGAGGCTCTGGAGGAAGCTGGAGTCCATGCTGGCTGCAGGCGGAGCAGGAGGAGGTGGCCAGTGAGCAAGGAGGGTACAGACAGGAAAGCAGGCCTTTCTTGGGCTTAGCTGCCCACCCCAGCCCAGGCCACCCTTATCCAACACAGTGGACAGAGGCCCCAGGCCCTGCCCACCTCGCCAAGTTCTGAATAGATGGAATATGGTGAAGCTGCATTCTGCAGCCAGGTAGATAGGAGGGAATTAATTACCTGCGGCCTGACCTCCACATCCAAGCAGGCTCAGCGCTGACCCCTGGTGGACCGTGATTGCTATCCGTTCTCCATGGACCTCTCAGGCTGCTCTGCGTTCTGCCTGGAACCCCCAGCGTGCAACTCCGGGCCTCCCTGCTGATTTCCGAAGCTGTGTGAACAGTCTGGAAGTCAGAGCTGCAGTGGAACCTCTGAGCCTGCAGGTTGCAGGAGAACTTGTGACTGCAGGCCCTGTGTGGGCCCCAGGCTGAGCTCGTCTGAGTGGTCCACACTCTTGCCTCGTTCCTGAATGCCAGCTGCGCAGCCGTGTGCTCTGAGAAACCCTGGCAATGAGCCACACTCTTCCTGGGGCTGCTGTGGCGCAGTTCAGGAGCCTGAGCTGGCTCCAGACCCTGGCGATGCCTGGTGAGGGGACAGCCGTGTGTGGATGCCAGTGACACGTTATGTATGCAGCACGTGCTGTGTGCTGCAGCTTCCACGCACGCCTGACCCTCGCAGCACCGGGGTGTGAACACGAGTGTGGCCACTGCACAGCGCACATCCCATGCTGCCCCCACATCTCTGGTCCCTTAGGCCTCTGGGCTTTAGGCCGCTGGGCCTGGGCTCAGTGCAGAGACTCGAGCAGTCGGTCACCCCACAGGCCAGGAACAACTTGTGTAACTCACAGACGGTAAGAACAGCTCTGGCCACTTCCTGACCCTGCTGTGGGCCTTGGGGTCCTGTGTGGTGTGGCTGCCAGCAGAGAGCTCGAGAGCGCTTTGCATGGAAGCTGTGTGTGTGTGTGTGACATACCCGGTGACATGCATGTGGCGTCCCTGTGCACATACACGGTGACAGGATCGCCAAGTGAGGGTATTCACTGCTTTCCTTGGTGCTGCCTTCCTGTGTCTGAGGTGGGAGCTGAAATCCACCCTCGCTGTGCCTCCGGGATGCAGCCCCCACCCCACTGGGCAGCCTCTCAGCTCTCCTGAGCCCTTCAGCTTTGCAGCTGCAGTTTGGTGCCAGTGGCCCACACCCTTCCATCCCCCTCTCGCCCTGGGCACCTCTGCCCAATGTTTCTGGGGCTCTTTGGGGCCACACGTGGACGGCCCTGCCTTGCGCATACTTTCCGTGGCTCTGGCTCACCCCAGTCACGAGATGCTGTCCCCTCTGGGTTCCCGGGGCGGCTTGCTTCTTTCTCTTCAGCCGAAAAATGCATGGTGTGTGTGGTCTCATTTCCTCCATCCGTGCTCCTATTGGGGACACGGCTACACCCGTCCCTGGGGAAGGGCCTCCGCCCTGAGAGCATGCCGGCTCTGTGAGCACCCAGCAGTGCAGGGCACCCCGAGTCCTGCAGCCACGGGTGTCACCCCAGGTCGCTACAGGGGCTGGGCAGAAGGGAGGGCACCGAGCAGCCCCTGCCCGCCGACAACAGCTGCCCACACGGGCAGTGCTTCCCAGGTCCCTCAGCCTCACCTGGCCTCTCCCTCTCCGGCCACCTTGTGCCCCTCCCAGGACACGCCCAGGACACCGAACTCTGTTTATGGGAATGGGGCTGGTGGGGTCGTGTGACCCAGCTCAGATGATGAGGGTCAGCGAGATCCTCAGCCAGAGCTCAGCCCAGCAATCCGGCAAACCTGGATCCCCCCCGCTCCTGGGTTTCCCCATCTCTGGAAGAGCCCGTTGTTGGGGGTAGAGGATGCTGTCCCTCGCCATCAGCCTTGGTGGGCATGCTGACCGGCTTCCACACTGGCCAGGGCTCTTGCTTGGCCCAAGGACGGGCTCAAGCACCTGCTGTGGGCTGGGTTCGCGCCCTAGTTCCGCATGCTGCGTTCACGGTGGTCTCCACTGCATGGGCCGGGGCCGGCACGGCTTGACATTGCAGTGCCCTCATCCTCTGAGGGCTGGCCGAGGCCATGCTGCTCGGTTCCGTCCTGCTCCGGGAAAGGGAGCTCTGATGACACAGACAAGCTCCCAACTCTGACAGAGCCACCTCCCTGGTGCCAGATGTGGAACGCGGACCCAGCTCGCGCTGGGAGACTGACCGGCCTTCCTCCAAGCACCACGAAAGCCCCACAGCACCGCTGTCGGGGGAAGCCGCTGGCCTTCAGAGCCCAGTGAGGGCCGGCAGAGCTCAGCGGCCTGTACAGGCCCACGGGTGTCAGTGGCCGCAGCTCCCCACTCATCCTTGGGCCTCGGTGTGTGGGCACCGACCTAGAGGTGCCTGTCCTCGATGACCAGAACCCAGCCAGGCACTGGGCCTCAGACTGGGCCACTCCCCATGACTCAGCCCCAGTAACCCAAGCCCTCAGGACCAGGCGTGGATAGCTGCACCTGCAGAAAGGGTTTTGTCTGTAAATATCTTACTTTTATTTACTAAGCTGTCCGGCACATAATGCCATGCATTGTTCATAGGCAGCCTAACATATCCATTAATGGGCACACTCTTTGCATTGCAAAGCAAGCTCCTTCCTCAGCATGCTGTCAGAGGCTGTGTCCGGGAGGGCGGCGCCTGCTCAGAAGAGCGGGGCGGGCCCTGTCAGCCCCGGGCGACCTCGGCCCTCTCAGCCGGCGCCGTGGGCGCGCTCTCTGGGACCGGTGTGCGTGGTGGGCTCTGGCCGGCTGGGCCTGGGGTTCTGAAACTCATTTCCCCCACTGCCCAAGTTTGCCCACTGCCTCCCACGGTGAGTCACGGCGACTTCATCTGCCACCCGCGGCCTTGCGAGCACTACAACCACGGCACGGTGGTGGAGTTCTACTGCGACCCTGGCTACAGCCTCACCAGCGACTACAAGTACATCACCTGCCAGTACGGGGAGTGGTTTCCCTCCTACCAGGTCTACTGCCTCCAGTCCGGTGAGTGCAGCTGCTGCAGATGTGGGGCCCAGATGAGGGCGGGGGTGCCAGCCTGCCCACTGCGGGTCGGAGGGCAGCCTCTGAACAGGTGCCCAGGCCGGGCACTGAGTTCAAACCTCAGGCTGTGTCCGTTTCTCCAGCCCGACCCCTCCGCCTGCACACGTAGCCGGGGCGGCTGGAGCCCTGCACATCTTCCCTCGAGCGTGCGACCGGCACACGCGTGGCCCTTATACGCTGCAGGAAACCACCTGCCTCTGGCCATGCGCTCGGGCGCGGGGGCCCTGGCCGAAGCAGTGGGCAGCCGTCCAGAGCCCAGCGGTGCCCAGAAGTGCTTGTGCCAGGCTCTGTGCCGGGCTGTCACCCTGGGACTGTGTGTGGCCCCGGTGAGACTCACAGGAGCTGGGCAGGACTCTAGCCCCCTACCCGGTGTCTCCTGCACCAGGCACGACACAGGAGGGCACCGAGGCGGGCATCGGGGCACGGAGCCTCACGCCCACCGTTCTCTCTCGTGGCAGAGCACACCTGGCCTGGCACACACGAGACCCTCCTGACCACCTGGAAGATTGTGGCATTCACGGCCACCAGTGTCCTGCTGGTGCTGCTGCTCGTCATCCTGGCCAGGATGTTCCAGACCAAGTTCAAGGCCAGCTTCCCACCCAGGTGGGTGCAGGGTCCCGGGCAACAGGCTTTCCAGGATGTTTTAGGGGTGTCTGGGGTCCCTCGGTACCCTGAGAGGCCCTCTGGGCTGGCGCTAGGGGCTTGCGGGGGTGCATGTCAGGGCTGCAGGCTGAGACCCCAGGAGGACACAGGGTTGGGGCAGGCCTGGACAGGCCTGGGTGTGTGCACTGGGAATGGTGGATGGAGAGCGTGCGGCAGGGGCGTCGGGGAGGGCAGCTCCTGTCCTGCGTGGCACCGGGAGCCTAACCCCACGCTGGCCATGCCCTTTGGGACTTGAGGCTTCAGAACAGGGTGCTAGTCCTTGTGCCCAGATGGTCAGCCCCAGGGCTGTGTGAACCCCTGCCCCGAGAAAGGCAGTGCGCTTGGGGAGGAGACTTGGGGCCAACCCCCACGTGTGCCCTGGGAGAGCCGGTGTGCGGGCGCTCAGCCACTGCACCATGCCTCCTCGATGCCAGTGGGCCCTGCTCCCCTCGGGGAGAGTGCTGGGCGGGCCCCGAGGGCAGTGCCCAGAGGTGTCAGCCGACACAGTGGGATTTACCACGGCCCAGGTGTGGACCGTCAGCTGAGGAGTGGACAGGGGGCCGGCGGGCTGGTGGCGGGCCGCACCCCCTGATGCTCCCCTGGGGTGGCCAGCAGTGCCCCACACCTTTAGACCTTGGGGCCCGGGTCCTGCACACTGTTCCCATGGAGGCTCGGGAGGACAGCGCGTGCTGAAGCCTCCACCTGGCCCGCACCTCTTACCTGGGGTCGGCAGCCCCGGCCAGGCCTGGTGGGGGCCCTCCCTTCCTGATGCTCACCACAGCGGCAAGGAGGACTCGGCTCTGCCTTCCACGCTGCTGCTCGGGGGCCGGGGCCAGGGCCAGGCATGGTGGGCACACAGAGTGCAGCAGGCGTGAGTGGCAGGCACTCGGGGCCCGAGCCCAGCAGCAGACCTTTGGGTGACACAGGACCAGCCCAGAGGGGACGCCAGCTGGGAGGGCCAGTGGCGTCAGGCGTCCTCTCTGCCTGCTCTCCCCACTGTCCCTGCCTTGCTGTCTGGTCTAAGGGAGTGACTTGCAGCACAGAAAGCAGACCAGAAGCCCTGTGCCCCGGAGAGCTGACCCTGGCCCTGAGGGCCCCAGCTCCTGGACATGTGGGGCGTCCCCAGGGCACAGCGCTGTTGGACGGCCCCACGGCCCATGGCCCGATCCCACCTGCCACGGCGGGAAAGCAGCCTGCTTCTTCCTCCCCGCCTTCTCCTGGGTCTGCCTCCACCGCCATGGGTGATGCACTGACAGGTGGCCACTGTTTCCTGTCACAGGGGCCCCCCCAGGAGCTCCAGCAGCGACCCCGACTTCGTGGTGGTGGACGGCGTCCCCGTCCTGCTGCCGTCCTATGACGAGGCTGTGAGCGGAGGTGCGAGTGCCTTAGGCCCCGGGCTCCTGGCTGCTGTGGGGCGGGGCTGCCTGGTGCCCGTGGATGACCAGAGCCCCCCCGCCTACCCCGGGGATGAGGACATGGGCACAGGGGCCTCCTGGGAGACCTGCAGCAGCGCCTCGGGCTCCTCCGAGCTGCTCCAGAGTCTGTACCCACCTCCCCCGAGTCAGACGCGTGCCTGCCCCACCCCCGAGGACCCCGACCCAGTGGCCAGCACCCTGGACGTGGCATCCACCAGCCCAGGCATTGACATTGCGGACGGTGAGTGCCTGCCAGCCTGCTCCTCACGCGGAGCATGGCTGCTGCTCCTGGTCACAGGGTGGGTGCTGGGCTCATGAGCTCACTCAGAGGCAGCTTCACAGGGAGACCCTGGCTCCAGGCTGCTCAGACAGCACTACTCAGGCCCTCAGAGCTGCTTTCCCCTCCCTGCACTGCCCGCCTGCACCTGAATGTTTGACTTTTCGACTTGTATGTTTATCAGAGCCTGTGGTTAAAGTCCAATGTTTTATTTTATTTTTATTGTTTAGTTTATTAGTACACGTTTGCAATGTATACTGTTTACATTCCGTGTGGACTTGGTGCATGAACATCACACATGTTAATTCCTTTTTTTTTTTTTAATCTCTTGTCCATTCCTTCCTTCCCTGTCTCTTACAATCACAGGAGTCTTTGGCAAATAAATATTGTGGGAGGGATTGGTTTACTTGATTTTAATAGACCCATGGAACTTCACGTTTTCTTCCTGCTGGATTCTGGAGTGCAGACAGCTAAGGAGACCCATATTCCAAACTGTGGTGTTTCCAGGCTGTGCGGAGCTGACAACTCTCTCCTCCTTTACAGAGATCCCTCTGATGGAAGAAGGCCCCTAGGGCTGGAAGCGATGACGCCACTGCCCCTCTGGGGAGGGATCTGGATCCACACAGCGAGGCAGAAGGACAGAGCCGGGCCCGGGTGCTGTCTAATTCACCATCAGTGGGCCACAACTTCTGTGGCCGATCGGGAACTCAGTGTGGCGGACTTGCTGCCCAGCCAGCGCTGTTAAACAAGAGTCGAGGGGTGCCAGGACCAGGGAGGGGGGCACGGAAGACCAGGCCCCTGGCCGCTGAGGAAAGCGTGAAGCGTGCCTGCTGCACAGACGCCCGCAACGCTCATCCTGCTGACTGGAGAACCCCTGAAACATGTCACGCTCACATGGTGTAAATTTGCTGGTTCACATCCGCCGCTCCTGCCCCGGGAGGGCTCGGCCTCTGGAGCACCCACATCATGCTGCGGGAGAGGGGCAGGGCACCCGCGCCCTCTGCTACGGACCGGGCTGTCCTCCTCCCTGATGCCTCTGCCCCTTGCCCTGCAGGGGCAGGAATTCTGGAGACCCCGTTTGTACCTCTGCGCTCCTGTGCTCCTGGGCTCCGGTGTGGCAGGTCCCTGGCGCCTTCTGGTGGAGGAGGACATGACCAAGGTGCTGTGTGGCTCCCCTCCGCAACAGTCAACCTGAGTCTGAGCTGCTCTGCGGTCTCTCCTGTGCCTGCTCCAAGGCCTAACTGTACTTTATTTTCCCAAACAGAAATTGTTTCTGTACACATATTCTGCCTCCAAAGAAAGTGTGAAGCTGAGTTCTTTCTCCTTCTTTGCTTGGTCCTGCAGAGGCGGCCCAAGACTGTCCCCTCCTGCTTCCGGGCCCCGCCTCTCCTGCAGGTCACCGCCTGCCCTGCCGGGAGAGGGCCCAGCACCCAAGGGAGGATTAAAACCCGAGTCTCGAGCCTGGAGACTCCTCCAGCGCGCACTGCTCTGAGGAGCTGATCCTTTCCTCCTCTGGGCTTTAGACGAATACACAAAGCTCCAATCTGCACCATCACTGAGCTGCTCACGCAACAAGGCTGGGAGCTCGATCGAGTCTTATTTTTTCTTGGCATAAACAGATTAAAAATGAAAAAGAAAACAATGGTGCGAAGTGCGGCTTCCACGGCGGAGCAGTCAGGCGGTGCGGGGAGATGGTGAAGTGCGGGGTCATAAACAGCAGGCTGGAGAGACGCCAGGCGCAGGGCTCCCCCTGGGGCACAGTGGGGAGCAGCGGCCGGGGCGCCACGCCCACCGCCAGCTTCTGCTGCAGGAGCTGGGGGCCCTGGGTGCGTCGGTCGGGGCAGGAGGAAGGACCTGGGCCCTCTGGGCGGTGGGCCTGGCCCCCGCCTGTCCTCCTGCATGCCCTACATGCAGGCCACATCTCAGGGACACCAGGGAGCTGCGCCCACACACAGGGCCCCTCTCAGCAGCAGCTGCCTCTCCTTGGACCCCAGCGGGGCTGGCTGGAGAGATGGGTCCCCCAGTGCCATCAACGCCAAGGACTTGGAGTCAGCAGGGCCCCAGGGCCAGAGGCTTGGCTGTGCATGGGATGCTGTCCCCCCCAAATCTCTAGACCTCCTGCACACTGAGGCGACAGCAGAGTCTCCCCACACGTGTCACTGGCTTTTCTCGCTGCGGGGAGTTTGTGAGGCAGAGCTCCAGGCATGTCACCCTCCTGACCTGAGTTTCTTTTTAAAGTCCCAGGAGGCTGGGCTCGGTGTGAATGTGTCATCCCAGCACTCTGGGGGGCTGAGGTGGGAGGGTCTCGACCTCCAAGACCTGCCCCACTCAAGTGCCCTTGCCCCTCCTGGGTGGGCAGCAGGGTCCACAGGGCTGCCCAAGGAGCCGTAGGCAGAGTCCTGCCCACTCGCTGGTCTCAGGCGTGGCAGGAGCTGCAGGCGGTGTCACCTTCGACTCCACGCAGTGGGCCGAGGTTTGCCCTGTGGATCCGGGGTCCTTCCCACTCGCTGCAACCCACAGCCAGCACAGCACAGCACAGCACAGGCTCCTGGCCCTGCTGCTCCTGCCCACTCGCTGGTCTCCAGCTGTTTCCCGGCGAGGCAGCGTTGCCCAGGGGACCGGGAATGCGTGCTGGTCGCCGTCCCCTCGCTTGTGTATGGGAAGTGCAGGTCCCGGGCAGGATCAACGCCACGCACAGACCCTGCACCTCTGCCTGCCTCGGTCCTGTCCTCTCCAGGCTGTCTGCAGGTCAGGCTTGCTCAGGGCTGTCGCACGCAGAGGCCACCAGGAGATACAGCCGTCCAGTCCTCCTGGGGCCACCCGGCTCCATGCTGGGCCCCGTGCAGGGTGAAGGGAAGGGGGAGCACTCTGGCTGCCCGGGAGGCAACCTCAGACACCCCAAGTTTGCCGAAGGACCCACTGTCCTCTGTGGGAACCCTGCCGATCAGCACCAGCCTCTGCCCCGGCTTCCCCTCTGTTTAGGGTTAAAGCACGAAAGTTAGTGCCCGTGTGCTCCCAGGTGAGGGGTGACTCCACCCGAGTAAGACGCTGGGTCCAGGGGCTGCAGAGGGCCGCACCGCGGTCATGTGGGGAGGGTGAGGAGCACAGCAGTGCTGACACAGTGCCGAGGCCATGAAGCCCAGAGTACCTCGGGTACAGGCCTGCAGGTGTCCCTGTGAGTGGCTGCGCCACTGAACGAGAGCCAATGACTGGCTCTGCTGAGCCGCTGGCCCCCAGATCCACCAGACAAAGAACGCTGGATGGAGGCAGGTGCAGGACCCAGGCCAGGGCACAGCTGAGGGGAATGAGCTTCGCCCTCCACCTGGAGCCGCAGGCAGCACTGAGGCCTGCCCCACAGCCTGGTGAACCGCGGCAGCTCTGGCTCTGCAGGGCTGGCTGTGCCCTCCAGCTGGGCCGAGGGCTGGGAAGCAGACGGCGGGGACCTGGCTGCCACTGGGCTTCGGGAAACTTCTGCAGGGGAGGCAGTGGACAAGCCGGTCGCGGGCAGTGGGGCAGGAGAGTGCAGTGGGTCTGGTGCTGGGCACAGGCAGAGCTGGAGTGGTGCTGTGGAGCTCAGCGTGGCAGTGCGGGCCTGGGTCCCCTGCCCGGGAGGTAGTGGCCCCTTAGAGCACTGGCAGGTTTCATGCTCGGCACTGAGGGGATGCAGGTGGGCTCGAGGGGTGGCATCGCATCCGGTGGAGTCGGAGACGTCAAGCCCACGCAGGATGGCCACTGGGGCTCAGGCACTAGCAGGCCCAGCCCCCTCGCTGCACGGAGAGCGGGGGGAAGGAGACCTCAAGGGCCTCTGCTGCTGTCAGGGCAGAACCACAGCCCCTCTCCCGGGTGTCCTCTGCCCCGAAGACCCCACTGACTGACGCCGTCTGCAGCTGGGGGTGGCCTGGCCATACTGCAGACCCTCCGTGTTCAGCCGCAGAGTCCTTGGGGCCGTGCAGTAAGCAGACCCTGAACCTCCCAGCCTGATGCAGCCATCGCTCTGTCCTCGGCAGCACTTCAGGTCCCTGCTCTGAGCCTGTGCGGAGGGAGGGGAGATCGCCGAGGGCTGGCAGTGCCCGCTCACCACTGCCCTGGGTCAAGGAGGCTGCCCTTCTCCCTGCTGGGCTGCCGCAGGGCAGGGTCCTGTCCTCCTTCGTGGGCTCATTCTTACAGCGGCTTCAGGGTCAGAGAAGTGGCCGGGGAAGCAGAGTTCCAGACACCCCTGACCCTGCACCCCTTCCTATTGTCCCACACTGCAGAGTCACTCCGGGAGACACCCTTCACACCTCCCTTCGTCCTGCACAAAACCTCAGCCCAGGAGCGCGTGCCTCATGGGACAAAGCCACGTGCCCTGGCCCCACAGCCAGACCCCTTCTCAGCATCTTCTCTGGTGCTCAGTGCCCCTATCCTTCGAGGGACTGTCTGCCTGCTAGTGGAAAGTACCCTCTCCCTCCCAGCAGTAGAGCGTCCGTGACTTTGACTCCCAGACTGCAAACAATCAGTCAGCCAATCAATCGGATGCCAAAGTCCCTGAGCAGAGCTCCTCCAGCAGCCTCCACCGCTCCTCTCCAGGCATGTACGGGCCAGTGGAGCCCTGGCGCGGGGCCTAAAACCCCAGGGATCCCGTGGTGTCGGTGGGGCACGTTCCCGCCCGGCGTGGATGGTGGCGGGGTGCACAGAGCCCACCAGAGCTGCGGTGTTGACTTTGGGAAATCCCTCATGTACTGCTCGGCCTCTGGCCCACCCAGGAGGCAGAACTGACCCAAGCCACACCGTGAGACATCCAGTGGCCCGAGCGCCAGGCAAACAATGCCACTCCAGTGGTGGGTGACAGATCTCCTCCCCATATCTAAAGGCAATCACCAGGTGCGCTCAGTTAGTCCTCACCCCACGCCCCTCCTGCAGGGGACATTTGGAGAGAGCCAACATGGGCTCCAGGACAGAGCTGGTGGCGCATGGGACAGCAGGGCAAACCTGAGTTCTGGGAGGCTGAGCAAGAGGCACTCCCTGGGCCCATGGACAGGAAGCCGTAGGCCTGTCCCTGGGACGATGCGAGGCCCTTTGCTCCTTCCCCGCTGCTGTTCCCTAATAAGCATGGTGTCCTGTCCTGTCCTCCACTCCCTGTGGGGATGGGATGCGGGCAGGCTCACCCGCTCCTCCTGGGTGAAACTCACCTGCACAAAGGCCTGTTTGTGAGGGCTTTGTCCCCTCTCTCTTCCACTCCCCTGGACTAGCACAGCCCTACAGCAGGGCAAGCAGGATCTCATGGGCTGTCCAGGGTCAAGCAAGCCCTTTCTGGCACTTAGCCCGGCAAAGGTGCTGTTCAGGGCTCCGTGAGCCACGCCCTGGCCTTATTTTCCAGGTGCCTGTCCACCAGGCTCCCCGAAACCTGGACGTGGGTCGGCAGAAATGGGAATGAGAATGTGATGGTGCCAAGCATCCCAGGTGGGGGGCAGAGAGGACCCCGTGTGCCCAGGAGAAGAGACCGAGCAGAGCTGTGCAGTCAGAGACGTGGGCCTGGGAGGGAGGACCCTGGGACCCACTCCAGGATGGGCGTGTCCAGGCAGCACAGTTCACAAAGACAAAAGGCAGGAGGCGTTCCAGATGTGCAGTAGGCAAAACAAAGAAATAATCCACGGTCCATCCATGCAGCGGATGCCACACAGATGCGTTCACCACTACAGAAAAATTAACCAAGCATGGAGTGAACAAAGCCAGGTTATAAAGGAAACATGGGGTATGGAAGCTGACAGATGCCAGCTGAGTCGTTCGGAACCCTGCCGTGCATGTCTACGTGTTGCTGGTGGGGCATCTACCTGGCACGGGACAGTCTGTGTACGTGGCACATATATGTGGTATAATACATGGTGCCCGTGCATGGTACATGCATGTAGTGTATAGCCATTGACCCCCTAAACCTGGGGCCAGGCATGTTTGATAGTCTGAGTTGCCCAGAGTTTAGAAGTGTCACGTGGAGCTGTCTGATAGAACACCTCTGTCAGGTAGGACACGGACCCACGGTTGAGTACCCCAGTGTCCCTAAGAGAAATATGAGAAATGCCACCTAAAACGTGGCGTGGGGCGTCCACAAACAACTTCACGCCAGTTCAGGCTTTCCTGCCCCATGAGCTGGTCACGAATTCCAAGCACTTCTGTTTCCCTCACTGTATGGGTTTCAGAATCGTGGCTGAGAGTGACCCCTAAGTGGAGAGGTAGGCGGTGGCTGGGGTGCGGCTCTGCAGCAGGCGCTGGCCCAGCCCGCAGGAGCCTTGAGGTCCACCACGGCAGCGCAGAGGGCACACGGGAGTAAAACAAAGATAGCAAGTCCATAAAGGCCTGCGGGAGGGCGGGCGGGCACTGGTGCTGTCTTTCCCTTTCCGCCTGGGGAGAGGCTGCGTGGATGAGCCTGGGTGCTCCTCAGATAGCGAGCCTGTTGCCCTGCGCACCATGCTGCGTGCTTCTGAGCAGGACGCAGGGAACCCTTGTCTCGACTCCCAGGAGGGGAAAGGATTTTCCCACAGCCCAGCTCGTGAGTGGGGGGCCTGGAGCCCGGGTTCTAGGTGATGTGCGATTCCTTCCCGGGAGACAGTTGAGACGGTGGCCTCGTGTGAATGAGGGCTCCACAAGACAGTTATTAAAACCTAT